TAGCAGAAATGACAGAGGATGAAATACTAACAGAACTTAAAGAACAGCATGTCACATCAGTGAAACGCTTTACGAGAAGAGATGGAGAAGTCACTATCCCAACAAATACATAATTGTTTACATTTTCTTTGACTTCTTTACCTAGATCAATAAAAGCAGGCTATTTTAACATCGGAGTGGAGGTGTACATCCCAAATCCACTCCGGTGTTACAACTGTCAGAAATTTGGACATGGTTGCAAATCATGCAATCGTCCGTCTGTGTGTCATCGTTGTGGAGGGAGTCATGAAAGCTCTGGTTGTAGAGCGAACCTCCACTGCGTAAATTGTAAGGGTCAACATGAAGCGTCTTCCAAAACGTGCCCTTCCTGGATATTTGAAAAGGATGTGTTGACAGTCAAAAGTCAAAACAACCTTTCCTTTCAAGAAGCGAAAAAGGTTGTTGCTGACATGGACATGGCATGGGCAAAATCGGAAAACCCAATGCCTTTAACTCAATCATCTATCAGCCAGACGAGTTTCTCGGACAGTGAAGACTGTACAGCTCAATCTACACCTGAAACAAAAGTTTCAAAAAAATCCTCAGCCGAAGTGTCCAAACAACAAAAGGAAAAACAACACAACAAAAATTAAAACCAAGATCCCCAGTCCTACTGAAACATCAGTAGATCTACAAAACTTTTTTTACCCTCTCGAGATGGATTTTGCTCCATCTTCAGAACGTACTAGTAGTAGTAACTACTCTTCACGTTCCCGTGAGCGATCACCGATAGAACCGCCATGACCCATTCCAATCTTCTTCAATGGAACTGCAGAGGACTTAAACATAACTTCCATGAACTGCAGTTATTAACAACAGATATAAATCCATCAGCTATTTGTTTACAGGAAACGTACCTTAAACATACCGATAATTGTGATTTAAGACGCTATAATTCTTTTTCTCCACCGGGTGATAAAGCTACCGGTGGTGCTTCTGTTCTGGTTCGACAGGGTGTTATTCACAGTCCTGTTCCCCTGACCACAAACCTGCAAGCTGTAGCAGTTCGTCTTACACTGCAAATTACCTTCACACTTTGCTCCATATACCTTTCTCCTTCTTCAAATATTCAGAAACTTGAACTTCAAAAATTATGCGACAAGCTCCCCAAACCATTTATTATCATGGGCGACCTAAATGGACATAATCCTTTATGGGGAAGTTCAAATATTAATCAAAAAGGAAAAGTGATCGAAGATTTCATACCTGATAACGACCTGTGCATCTTTAATGATGGCTTAGAAACTTACCTACATCCTGGTACAGGTACATATCCATCACTAGATCTGTCACTTGCAGATGCAACTTTGTTGAGTGAGTACACATGGTCAGTCCACGATGACCTCTGTGGAAGGGACCACTTTCCAACTATTTTGAAACCTGTGTCCCCATCTGATGTTCCTCCGTCATCACGAAGGAATTTTAAATAGCTGACTGGCATTTATACGACACTCTTTGCACTCACAAATTGAAACCTGAACTTTTCATGGGCACTCCTGATCCCATAAAATGTTTCTCTGATGAACTAAATATAATTGCTGATGTATGTATTCCAAAGTCCTCTGCTGTTGCTCACATACGAAAACCATGGTTTGATGACAACTGCAAACAAGCCAAGAAGGCGCGGAAAAAAGCTGAGCACTATTTCCGTCGCCATCCTACGGTCCATAATTTCAATAAATTTAAGATCTTAAATGCAAAAGCTAGGCGTACTTTTAAACAAAGTAAACGTCAGTCATGGGGAAGTTATGTATCCAAAATCAATTCACGTACGCCCATGTCGAAGGTTTGGAATATGGTACAAAACATCAAAGGTAAAGGCTCTAAACCTGGCATCCACCACCTTAAGAATGGAAATGAATTATTAACAGATACTTGTGATATTGCAAATAAACTAGGTGAAACTTTGGCTAAGCACTCTTCCTCCTCTAACTATATACTTAAATTTCAAAAATATCAACAGCAACAAGAAAAGACGCCTATTAATTTCAACACGGATAATGGGGAAGACTATAATGAATTATTTTCTATTCATGAGCTTCATAAAGCTCTTGACCAAGCTCACGATACTGCTGCAGGAGCTGATAACATACATTATCAACTCCTAACGCATTTACCAGAATCCTGTTTAGAGACACTTATACATATCTTTGATAGTATTTGGACATCTGGGGAATTTCCTTCATCCTGGCGTGATGCTATAATTGTTCCACTTCCTAAACCTGGACGTGATAATACCGATCCTTGTAATTATTGACCAATTTCTTTAACTAGCTGCGTTTGCAAAACCATGGAACGCATGATTAATAATAGATTAGTTTGGTACTTGGAAACCAATCATCTAATAGCTGATATACAATGTGGTTTCCGTAAAAACAGAAGTACAATTGATCATTTAGTGCGTTTGGAATCTTTTGTTAAAAATGCCATAATTAATAAACAACATGCAGTGTCGATCTTTTTCGATCTAGAAAAAGCATACGATACTTCGTGGAAATATGGTATTTTAAGAGATTATCATGATTTTGGATTACGGGGCCGTTTGCCTAAATTTATATCCAACTTTTTAAAAGACAGGCAATGTCAAGTCCGAGTGGGTTCAACCCTGTCTGACCATTATAATCAGGATCAGGGTGTCCCCCAAGGAAGTATTCTGTCTGTCACACTGTTTAGCATTAAGATCAACAGTTTATCCAAGGTTTTAAATGATTCAATCGATGGATCACTTTTTGTGGATGATTTTAATATTTCTTGTCCCGGTAAAAATGTGCATACTACTGAACGGCAACTACAGTTGTGTTTAAACAAAATAGATAAATGGTGTCTCGAAAATGGCTTTAAATTTTCTAAGTCAAAAACTAATTGTCTACTATTCTGTAGAAAATATAAGCCGCATAAGGACCCAGAACTGTTTTTAAATGGCACTCCCATTAAAGTTGTCAAGGAGGCCAAGTTCATGGGTATGATTTTCGACTCCCATTTAACTTTTCTCCCGCATATCAAATCCTTAAAAACTAAATGCCTGAAGGCACTCGATTTACTGAAAGTAGTTTCCAATTCAAAATGGGGAGGGGATCAAGCTTCCCTCCTTCACCTATATAGATCACTGGTCCGCTCGAAGCTTGATTATGGCTCCATCATATATGATGGAGCTTGCAAAAGCAACTTAAAACTATTAGATTCTGTCCACCACTAAGGTCTGAGACTTTGTCTTGGGTCCTATAAAACCTCTCCTGTTGAGAGTCTCTACGTCGAGGCAGATGAACCACAACGCCGTATAAAATAATCATTACAATATCTTACAAAACTATTTTCTAACAAGTCTAACCCTGCTTATAACTGTGTCTTTAATCCCCTCTATGTGGATTTATACACCAAGAAATCTTCTCTTGTTGCGCCCCTTGGGCACAGAATTCCATTCCTTTCTGCTGCCGGCATTGAGCTGGAGAATATTTCTCCTTCGCGTTTGCTTTCTTCTCCTCCTTGGCAATTAGTGAGGCCACACGTTGACCTAACATTAACCACATTTAAAAAATCAGAAACGAATGAATTACAGTATAAACAAGAATTTAGTCAATTAAGAAACAAATATAATACATACAAATCGTTATTTACAGATGGGTCAAAGGATGGTGGCGCAGTAGCTTGTGCCACTGTCATTGGCTCCAAAACAATATCTTCTAGATTGCCTGATAACAGCTCTATTTTCACAGCAGAAGCTAATCCAATATTAACAGCCTTAAAATATATTAATAAACACCCTAAATATAAACAATACATAATCTTTTCCGTTTCGTGCCTTCAGGCTATCAAAAATCTTTCTTCCAAACATCCACTTTTAATCGAAATTATTGAATTATATAATGATCTTGCTACTGGCCAATACGACATCGTCTTTTGTTGGTTACCAAGCCACGTTGGCATTTCCGGGAACACAATGGCCGATTTTGCTGCCAAGGCAGCACTCAACAAATCTGTGACACCACTTTTTATTCCATACTCCGATTACAAAGCAACCATTCGATTATACATGATCTAATGCAGAAGGAGTGGGACACCCAAGCAGGCATAAATAAATTACATGAAATTAAACCAATAATCGGTTACACCTTCTTGGGTTGTCAGTCCAGATTTGAAGAGGTAATTATGCGACGATGTCGCATTGGCCACTCAAGGTACACCCACGAATATTTGCTAAAAGGTGAGGATCCGTTTTGCATCCCTTGTGATGAGAGTATCACGGTCAAGCATGTCCTGCTTGACTGCATTGATTTTTCTATCACAAGGGATAAATATTTCAATGTTAAAACTGTGAAGATCTTTTTGGTAAAATTAACTATCATTTAATCTTTGAGTTTTTAAAAGAAATAGAATTAATTGATAAAATTTTGATTTATATGTTTTGTGAATAGATAAATGATATTTTATCATCGGTAAAATAAATTAGCAACTAAGATAGTTAGTGCCTGTATCCTCGAAGGGGCTTAAAGTACTGTAAAATTCTTGTCCTCCTGAGAGGGTACGTAAGTCCCAAAACTTCCCAAGTCAGTTAGTTCTACACACCTTTTTAATCGTAGGATATTTGTTGTTTTATTATGGCTAAATATCAGTACAGTCTCCAGTGGCTGAAGGGTTGGTATAAATCCAGCTAGGGTCCATGCAGGTAGCCAAAGTACTGTAAGTCCCTAGAGTGGTGATCTACCTTCAGTTGTTGGCGGCCTTTTTTTATATTGTATTGTCCTAATTTGAAATCCTATTTTAGAGATATACGCTTGTTTTATTTCCTATTACTGTGATATACTAGTTGGTTTTACTGTCCTTCGTCGACAGGTTTTTAAAATTTGCGCATTTGTCATGAATTAATAATTGTCTTAAGTCACGATATGGCTGAAATATTGCCGCTGTGACTGTAAACTTTAACTCACTCACTACTACTACTGGCCATTTGTTGTGCGCTAGTGCATCCTCAAAGCGCAGGGGGGAAGAGGGACAGAGTCAGTTATATACAGAGGAGAAAAGATAAGTCTTCAGTTGTGATTTGAAACCTGTGTCAGAGAATCAGAGTCTTTGATGTGGACTGGCAGTGAATTCCATAGTCTTGGCGGCTGCATGAAAGAACGATCGTTTACCAAATGAGGAAAGTCGGAAAGTTGGTACAGTAAGTAGGAGCTGGCTCTCAGACTTAAGTACAAAACAGTTATTAAAATTTCTAATGTGCCCTTTTTCTATTTTCCTACACATAATAACTGTAATATATCTAGATTTGGTGTTGGGACGGGTGCTCACCAAAAGTATTACCTTCAGTGACATATCTTTTTCACAACTTTCCATGTAACTTAGGATCTTTAAAAAAATCATGTTTTCACGTCATAGGTTGATTGTGATACTGCTCACGGACATGTGTGTACATTCCACATTTACAGTTTAATAAAGGGAACACACAAAAATGTTACTTCTGGTATAAATGTACACATGTTGTCTGTGCATGATAACAAATAGAGCAGCCTGGAGCGTGGCGGGTTTATTTTACACGTGTATCCAAAACATCAACTGATTCCTCCAAGAAGTCAAATCTGGCGCGGGTAGTCCTGTTGTCTGAGGTTCCGCAGTTCGATCAGTAAAGCAGCGCTTTCGAAAACTTTGATCGAGTTGCTGATGCACCTTGATTACTTGTTTCCGTTTGGTTTATTTGGTGAAATATATCATTATATTATTAGATTCCATGTCTAATCACCCTAGCAGCCTTCCTTTGAAACTAAAAATCGAATTATGGATACATTCGGAGTTAAAATAATCAGTGAGTCAATTAGTTGGGAAGATTGTTATTTAAACAATCCATTGATCAGGTTTCTGAGAGTGTCATGTTTTCATTGTGAGTAAATGCATTCAGGCAGAATTAATGCACCATGTCAAAGTGCAAACGTAATGCAAACGTATATGTCAAAATATATCCTATCACGATAAACACGAGTCCCACTAAAAAACTATCCACATACCAAATGCCATTGCATTGTGAACGAAACTGACTGAGTAATGACTTTTAGTCATTTGCGCGAAACCAAATCGTTAAAATAACATTGACTATGGGAAACACGTGATGAAGAAATCGCTCATTATAAATGTAAAACCGAGCCCAAATAAACAATCTAGCCCATCGTGTCAACTTGACATTCGAACATTTTGACCAATGCAAACCTCAACGAAGCGTTGATTTTGTAGTATCATTCGGAGCATCGAATCTCTGTGGCTGACGAGTCGGGGACAGCTGAAACATAATAAATCTCCATTGCAACGTTTTGGTATTGAATGACTAAACAACTAATGTACACCTTTCATAAAACACAATGAACACAATAATCATACATATCAAAGAAACACCAATTATTTGTTATAGGTCTCGGATATTCAAATGTGCTACAAATAGTTTGGATTACCGAATAATAGCTCTTTTTACAGCAGAAGCAAACGCAATACTAACAGCTCTTAAATATATTAATAGACGTCCCAAATATAAACAATACATAATCTTTTCTGACTCTTTCGTGCCTTCAGGGGGCGGTGGGGTAGCCTAGTGGTTAAAGCGTTCGCTCGTCACGCTGAAGACCTGGGTTCGATTCCCCACATGGGTACAATGTGTGAAGCCCATTTCTGGTGTCCCCCGCCGTGATATTGCTAAAAGCGGCGTAACTCACTCACATACTCGTGCCTTCAGGCTATAAAAAATCTTTCTTGCAAACATCCGCTTTTATTAGAAATTACTGAAATATATCATGCTCTTGCTACTGGCCAATAGGACATCGTCCTTTGTTGGTTACCAAGCCATGTTGGAATCTCAGGGAACACAACGGCTGATCTTGCTGCCAAGGCAACCCTCAACAAATCTGTGACACCACGTCTTATTCCATACTCCGATTCCAAAGATAGCATTAGATCGTACATCCGTGATCTGATGCAGAAGAAGTGGGACACTCAAGTAGATCAAAATAAATTACATGAAATAAAACCTTATATTGGTTACACCTACTTGGGTTGTCAGTCCAGATTTGAAGAGATCATTATGCGACGATGTCGTATTGGCCATACTAGATATACTCATGAATACCTGTTAAAGGTGATGATCCTCCGTTTTGTATCCCTTGAGATGAAGGAATCACGGTCAAGCATGTCCTGCTTGACTGTATTGATTCTTCCATCACAAGGGACAAATATTTCAATGTTAAAACAGTGAAGGATCTTTTTTACAATGTTAATTATCATTTAATGCCTGAATGTTTAAAATAGAATTATAACAAATTTTGAAAACTGTTTTTTGTATATAAATAAATGATAGCTGAAGGGATGATGTACATCCAGCTAGGGTCCATGTAGGTAGCAAAAGTACTGTAAGTCCCTATGGACCTTAGTATGGTAATCTACCTTCAGCTGTTGGTGATCTATAGCCCGTTTTTATTTTGTACTGTCTATGCTGAATAAATTATAAGATACCATACTAGTTTTAAATTTATAACTGTGGATGCTCTAGTATTTTACTATCCATAGATGACAGGTTTTTATGTTCTTATTTTTTTATTTTAATATTGATATAAATTAACTTGTTCTCGTCACGATATGGCTGAAATATTGCCGATGTGACGCTAAATATTAACTCACTCACTCACTACAAATAGTTTGCCCCCAGTAACAATTAGCACAATTCAAAAATGTATTTGATGTTTAAGTAGTATGTAGGTAGAGACAACTATACCTTAGCTATAAAATGAAAATGAACTAATTGAGCTCGCTATGACGAGGGTGTTTTTCATACCTTCAAAGGATGGCACAAGTGACATCCTGGTTTTGGGATAGCAATATCCATGGAATCCCCCGCACTTGAGGTGAATGACAGCCCCTCCGTCTTCTCTGATTACTGACTCAATGATCGCTTTCCAACCCCCTGCTATCCATTCCACCTGAAATGAAATGGTATGAAGTTTACAAATAAAGCCGTAATAATAAAATAGTACACACTACTGATACAAATTCCGTGTAGCCTTATGAACTGGAGGTTAAGCACCAAAGATGATCTTTTTTTCAAAATGCATAAAGAAGTGGATGACATTGTGATTATTTCTAAAAATAAACAAAGGTTTCATCCAGTATGGGTACCTTTTGCAGGTACAGCTGACCTCGATACAGACACAGCATAGATATCGCAATATAATGAACACTCTATCAGGGAATCTGTTCTTATCAATCAGTTGACACGGCATTTCAAGGTACAAGGCATTCTTGAAAAGGAAATTAGAGTTATGCAATTTAAAGAAACATACCCAAACAACTAATTTTTTGATTTAATAAACGGTCGGTAGATACAGGAATTGAAAATGGGCCACTTACGAAGATCATAACTCCACACTATATGTATGCTGAAGGGACAGGCCATTAGTACCTCAGTCAACAGTTAAGTGTGCATTCCAACTGCATGTCCAGCTTGAACGTTTGTTTTTTAGATTACCATCTCAACCTGGTTTCACGCCGATTGTCGCAATATTCGAGCACTATCACGGCGAGGCACACCAGGAAAGAGGAAATATCTAACTGGCATACATTGCGGTGCAGCTTCACAAACACCATGATGATTTACGATACTCACATCTGGATCCACCAGCCAGCCTGTACTTGTTAGATTGACGGTAAACTCGCCCTTGGTTCCACAGGACCTCAGTATACTGTAGTGCCGAACATAGCAGTCCTCAGCCTGGGCGTAATATACTTCATGATTGGTGAAAACAGCAAATGTCTTGTCAATTCGTACAACCGCCATGTCCTGAAAACAGCAAGGGGCTCTCCCTTTACAAGCATGTAGTATCCTTAACAAGCATGAAGTATCCTTTACAAGCATGTACATGTACACATCCAACGTTTCCAAGATCCAACATCCAAGCCTTTACGCTAGAAAGGATTCTTGATTTGATCGGAATGTTTCGAAGCTTTAATGGGGGTAGCTTCTCCTTTATGTTTTACACTAGTACTTTAAGAACATGTAAACTCATTTTACTTTTTAACGTTATCCAAACTTCAAAATTAACAAAAATATCGCTTAAAAAACTTTGACTAATAACATTTATAATTAGTAAAAATAAAAATTCCGTAATATTTCCTATGAATGACCTCTGTGGAAGTGACCATTTCCCAACAATACTAAAACCCGTGAATCCATCTGACGTTCCTCCATCATCAAGATGGAATTTTAGAAAGGATAACTGGCCTTTATATAAAATTCTCTGTGCTGCCAAACTCAAACCTGAACTATTTAATGTTATTCTTGATGCAATAAAATGTTTTTCAGATGAACTAAATAAGGAGTGTATCCCAAAGTCCTCTTCAATTTCTTACATACGAAAGCCATGGTTTACAGATGATTGCAAACAGGCTAGGAAGGCACGGAAGAGGCTACAGTCCACAATTTAGACAAATGTAAAATTTTAAACGCTAAAGCATGGCGTACTTTCAAGCAAAGTAAATCTTGGCGAAAATATGTATCAAAAAATCAATCAATTAGCGCACTCCGATATCAAAAGTGTGGAATATGATCCAGAAATCAAAGTTAAGGGCTCTCTACATCTAGCATTTATTATCTGGAAGATGGGAACCAATTATTAACAATTAAATTTGATATTGCAAATACGCTTGGTGAGACGTTGGCCAAACATTCTTCCTCATCCAAATTTGTACCTGAATTCGAAAAACCTCAAAAACAGCAAGAAAAGAAATAATTCATTTCAGATAATGGAGCGTAATTTGTTACATTGTGTAATTTGTTACATTCTATCTGCGCTTTGAGCATGGACTGCATGGATACCAGCGCACTACAAATGTGTTATAATGATGATGATGATTTTAAAAGATTTACATGACTTTGGATTACGAGGCCGTTTGCCTCAATTTATTTGAATTTATTTTAATGACAGACAATTTCAAGTCCGCGTGGGTTGGTGTCTGACCATTACAAATAGAATCAGGGTGTTCCACAAGGCACATTGTTTAGTATAAAGATCAACAGTTTATCAAAGGCTATAAATGATTCAATAGACGGCTCACCTTTTGTGGTTGATTTTAATACTTCTTGTCGCGGTAAACATATGCATTCTATTGAACGGCAGTGTTTAAACAAAATGGTATCTCGAAAACGGCTTTACATTTTCTGAATTAAAAACAAATTGCTTACATCTCTGCCGTAACTACAATCCGCATAAAGACCCTGGACTATTTTTAAATGGCACCCCTATCAACGTTGTAAAGGAGACCAAGTTCTGAAGTCTTATTTTCGACTCCCATTGAACTTTTATGCCGGATATTCAATCCCTTAAAGCCAAATGCCTGAAGGCAGGCACTCGTTTTGTTGAAAGTTGTTTCCAACTCATAGTCGAGAGGGGGTCAAGCTACCCTCCTACACCTATATCGATCATTGCTCGAAACTTGATTATGGCGGAACCTGCAGAAGCAACCTAACACTATTAGATTCTGTCCATCACCAAGGTCTAATACAAGACAAATCTTATGGATAACAACTTCTTGATTTATTTTTCACAACGTTTCTGGGCTATTTCTTGCCCCTTTTATTCATCCACCTGAAGAAGGGGCAAGAACTAGCCCAGAAACGTTGTGAAAAATAGATCAAGAAGTTGTTATCCATAAGCTTTGTCTTGTATTACTACACCAACTTCTAAATGCCTTTGAAGAATTTCACCAAGGTCTAAGGCTTTGTTTTGGGTCTTTTGGAACTTCTCCTGATGAGCCATCAATAAACCAACGCCGTATAAAATGATCTTTGCAATATACAACAAAACTATTTTCAAACGAGTTGCTCTTGGCTCGCTCGTGGCTCGTTTTCTAAATTCTGTGTTCAACCGAATGTATGGTTCTATCCAGGGTTTTTGATCAAATTTGAGGACCTGGCGTATTTTGGTCAGCTTCATACCAAGCGACAGGTACACCTGCAGGTTGCGATAGTGCACGACGTACTTGGTTTTGTTCATCAAGTTCGGGACAAGTTTTTCCATCTGAGCCAGTGTGTTCTCGCCCAACAAGTCTCGCTGATAGTCGGACATCCAGTCTCGATTCACCATTAATCTTTCGGGAGCCAGCGGATGACTGTTATGCGATTCGTGCAATGCTTTGGGGTACTCCAAATCCACTTTGAACAGGTAGCCTATCTCGAAGTTGTCGAGGAAGGCCATAATGTTCTTCGGATTAAAATGCTCACTATTAACCCACTCGAATCCGCTTGAATCACATTCTTACAACGCGAAGAGAGAAACATCAGGGAAGCTTTGTCGGATCCTGCCTCCATGGATATCACGCCAGAGGATGAGTTCGCTCACCGACGAGCTAGATATTTTCACGTATGTCGAGGACCCCTGAACGGTGATTCGGTGAGAGATCATTGTCACATCACTGGTCGATACTGAGGCGCCGCTCACAACGCATGCAACTTAAAACTTAGAATCGATCCCCCAAAAATCAACATCCCCGTGGTCTTCCACAATTTGAGAGGGTACAATGCCCAACTGATCATGCAGGCCATCTCAAAGGTCGGTGGTGATATCAAGAACATCCCAACAACATAGGAAAGTACATCTCATTCTCGCTCAATGGTCTGTGATTTATCGATAGCCCTCAGTTCCTCCTGTTGTCGCTCGACAGTTTGGTCAAGGGCAATGATACCTTCGCCATCACCCATCGATTCACCAATGTGGCAACAAGGCCTCTGCTGCTCAAAAAGGGCCTGTACCTGTACGAGTATATGGACGATTCGTCTAAGTTCAACGAGACCTGATTACCTCACATCGACCGATTTTACAGCAACGTAACTGAATCCCATATCTCCCAGGACGATTACGACCACGATCAGAACGTATGGAACAAACTGGGTTGCAAGAATCTGGGCGACTACTACGACCTGTACTTGAAAACGGATGTGCTGCTGCTGACCGATGCGTTCGAGACGTTCAGAACGACGTGTTTGAAACAGTATCAACTCGACCCCGTCTGGTACTACACCAGCCCCGGTCTCTCGTGGGATGCGCTCTTGAAGAAAACCAGAGTCAAACTGGAATTGTTCACCGATTACAACATGCACCTGTTCGTTGAGAAAGGCATGTTGATTTCTATGGTCTCCAAACGGTATGCGAAAGCCAACAACCCGTATGTGAAAAACTACGATTCGAACAAGCCCTCCAATCACCTCCTCTATCTCGACGCCAACAACCTGTATGGCTGGGCTATGAGCCAGTATTTGCCTACGGGCAGATTCGAGTGGGTTAATAGCGAGCATTTTAATCCGAAGAACATTATGGCCATCCTCGACAACTTTGAGACAGGCTACCTGTTCGAAGTGGATTTGGAGTACCCCGAAGCATTGCACGAATCACACAACAGTTATCCGCTGGCTCCCGAACGATTATTGGTGAATCGAGACTGGATGTCCGACTATCAGCGAGACTTGTTGGGCGAGAACACACTGGCTCCGGTTGAAAAACTTGTCCCGAACTTGATGAACAAAACCAAGTACGTCGTGCACTATCGCAACCTGCAGCTGTACCTGTCGCTGGGTATGAAGCTGACCAAAATACGTTGGGTGCTCAAATTTGATCAAAAACCTTGGATAGAACCATACATTCGGTTGAACACAGAATTGAGAAAATGAGCCATGATCGACTTCGAGAAAAACCACTACAAACTCATGAACAATTCGGTATTCGGCAAAACCACGGAAAACTTGAGGAGCGTGATCGCACCAGGAGGAAAACTCAGAAAACTGATCGCCAACCCGGCCTTCAACCGGAGCAAGCTATTCGATAACAACTTGGTGGCGCTGCACATGTCAACAAAAGCCACATTAAACTCAACCGACCCATCTACATGGGGATGAGCATCCTCGACCTCTCCAAACATCTCATGTACGATTTCTACTACAACCAACTCAAGAAGCAATACAGCGATCGATGCGAGCTGCTGTACACGGACACAGATTCCTTGTTGTTGAATATACGCACCTAGGACGTGTACGAGGACATGGCGAAACACATGCACCTGTACGACACCAGCGATTATCCCCAAGACCACGCCCTACACAGCACGACCAATAAAAAGGTCCTCGGCAAGATGAAGGACGAATGCGCGGGCACCCCGATCGCCGAATACGTTGGATTGAGACCTAAGATGTATTCCATGCTGAAAGCCGACAACGGTGAGATCCGAAAGGCGAAAGGGGTCAAGAAATATGTGGTGAAACAACACATCCAACACGCCGACTTCAAAGAATATGACGTTCATACACCGAATGAATGAGTTGAGAAGCGACAAACACAACATCTATGGAATCACCCTGAATAAAACCTCCTTGTCGCCAATGGATACCAAACGGTGGATCGCCGTCGCCGTCGACGCGTACGGACACACGCGCATAAACCACTGTTTAGACCTCGACGCGCTGGGAGTTTCCGAGACCCCCAATAAAGGAAACTCCACTCGGCATGTCGAGGTCTAGTCAGTAGTTGAAAAAATGAAAAAATTGGTAGCCCTAGCGAAAATGGGTCTAGGCTGGCGAGCTCGGCTGTACATGGAATGATGTCTTTACTCGAAAATCACTATTTTATACTAGGTGCTGGGAGCAGAATCACGTAGAAATAAGCCTATCAGAGGAAGTGGTCCAGAAACATCATTATATAACTACTTGTGTTTTTAATCCTCTTTCTGAGGATCTGTTCTTCCGTCATCTTTCTTCTCCTCCTGGTCAGTTGGTTAGGCCAAAAGGCGACCTAACATTAGCCACATTAAAAATATCCAAAACTAATGAATTACAATATAGACAATAACATAATGAATTAAAAAATAAATAGAATTCATGCAAATCCTTATTTACAGATGAATCCAAGGGTGGTGGCGCAGCTGCTTGTGCTACTGTCGTTAGATCCAGAACAATACTTTCTTGATTACCGGATAACAACTCTATTTTTACAGCAGAAAAAATGCAATACTAACAGCTCTTAAATATACTAATAGACACCCAAAATATATACGATATATATATACACGATATATATATATACGATATATCATATTTTCAGACTGTATTTCTTGCCTTCAGGCTATAAATAATTATCTTGCAAACATCAACTTTTAATAGAAATTATTGAATTATATAATGATCTTTGGTTGGTTATCCAGCCACGTTGGCCATCTCGGAACACAATGGCCGATCTTGCTGCCAAGGCGGCCCTCAACAAATCTTTGACACCACTTCATATTCCATACACTGATTATAAAGCTACCGTTAGATCTTATATCCGTGATCTGATGCAGAAGTGGGACACCCAAATAGGTATAAACAAATTACATGGAATAAAACCCGATATCGGTTACACCTACTTCAAAGTCCAGATTTGAGAAGGTCATTATACGGCGATGTGGTATTGGACATTCAATATATACACACGAATACCTATTGAAAGGAGAGGATCCTCCGTTATGGATAGCTTCTCCGTTTAAAACAATTAAACTCAGTTTTTAACGTTATCTTCGAGGTTTAAACATGAAAATATCGTTGAAACAACTTACACTAATCACGTTTATGAATATTCGAGTCCTTTCCTCAGAGAAAATCCATACACTGAGTGAGTGAGTGAGTTGAAATTTAAAGTCACATGGACAGTATTTCTGCCATGTTGTGACTATGAAAGTTGTGAGTGAGTTTAGTTTTACGCCGCACTGTAAATTTGTGAATGCATAAATGAATAAATGAATACAAACAAACTTATATACTTACTTGTCAGCAAAGGACAGTAAAATAACTAGTCCATCCCAGATTTACACTTGAAAATAGCATATTTTGTATACTAGGCACATAAAGAAACTGTGCACACAAAAATTTAAAATCCAAATTTATCAAACCTTTGTTGACACATAAGGATTTAAACTCAGAGATTAGTGACATGTATCCAACATGCATGCACGTGCCACGTTCCGTGACGGCAGTGGGTTCGTCCTTGAGACGTGCAATACGTTGTTGCACATGCATTCCGGGAAAGAGAAACAGAGCAAATGAATGCCACACAATACTGTCACTTTGGAAAGCTCAACCCCTGCCCTTGCGATCGTTAAAAAAATTAAACGGCTATTGAAACGCATGGCATGCCAAGGCTCAGGTCTGCACAACGTCATGAGGCCATTGGGATGGTCCGTGGGGGAATGTCTCAACGACAAGTGGCTGCACATTTCCACTGCCACCTGAACACCATATCTGCACTGGTGAGACGCTACCTGAACACAAATGACGTCATCGATCGGCCACGTTCTGGACGTCCACGTGTAAAAACGCCAAGACAGGACAGATGGATAAGGATGACCCATCTTCGCCACAGGTTTCAGACTGCAGTGATGACTGCCCGAACCATCCCAGGACTTCGCCGTATCCACCCCAACACAGTTAGACAACGTTTACGTCATCACGGGATCAGACCACGACGTCCCGCTATACGGCCTATCCTGACACAACGTCATCGACAAGCTCGCCGAATGTGGTGCCGAAATCATGTCCGCAGACCCTTTTTTGGTGGTGAAATGTTGTTTTTACAGATGAGTCCAGGTTTAACATTTCCCATAGTGATGGACGTCGACGTGCCTATAGACGCGTGGGAGAACGTTATGCACAGGCCTGTGTCTTGGAAAGGAATCGCTTTGGTGGTGGTTCCGTGATGATTTGGGGTGGAATAACAGCACGCCAAAAAACTCCTTTGGTGATTGGTCAGGGCAACTTAACTGGTGTGGGCTACAGGGATCAGATTCTTCGACCTGTGGCAATTCCTTTTCTGCAACGTCATGGCCCTGGGTTAACCTTCCAACAGGACAATGCCCGCCCTCATACGGCAAGGGTTGCTATGGATTTCTTGCAACACCACAACGTTGACTTACTGCCTTGGCCTGCAAATTTACCGGATCTCTCCCCGATAGAGCATGTTTGGGACGAGATGGATCAACGTCTACGCCGTCTTCCTCATCCACCAGATAACGTCCTTGACCTTGCAACAGAACTTGAGAGAATCTGGCGTGACATCCCACAAGCCTGCCTTGCACGTTTGATAGGCTCTGTGCGTCGTCGATGCACTGCTGTTCTCAATGCCGATGGTGGACATACCCGTTATTGAGCTTGTGACATGGTCGTTTGACCCCTGTCCCGCTTGTGGACTCGTGACGTCATTGTGATTGACTTTTCAATTGAAATTCTCCCGACTTGTTATGGTCTCATGATCCCTCCATTAAAGTTTATATGTACCTTTGAAATTGTTATCGTATTTATTAACTGGGATAATATTTTGACAATGCACAGTTTCTTTATGTGGCCAGTGTACAATGTAAAAATGGGCTATAGGTCGCCGGCAACTTAAGGTAGATCACCATACTAGCATCAACACAATCTGCTGTCAAGATAGTGAGTGAGTGAGGTTTTTTTAGCAATCAATATTCCAGCAATATCACGGCGGGGGACACCAGAAATAGGCTTCACGCAGGCTTTTCCATGTGGGAAATCGAACCCGGGTCTTCGGCGTGACCACTAGGCTACCCCACCGTCCCGCTGTCAAGATAAGTATGTAACAAGAAGTCATAATCATGCACTGAAATACCTCAATGTCAATCCTTATCTTCATGTACCACCACTCGCCCCCCTGACCCGACACAAGAATAGCGAAGGGGTGTCTCTCCAGCGCAACCTTCGTTGGCTACTGTTGGGTAAATACCGTAGTTGGGCGACGGCAGCGTCATGTACTCCACGGGGTTGCTGGTGTTCATGTTGTGACAGTAGATCCGGGTTCTGTACAAACCAAAGTGTGGTACACGTAGCCAGTATTCTCCATCAGTGCTTGATGGATCGCACTCTTTGACTTCTGCGCATGATGTTGGGTTCGCTGGAAGTGATTGTTCTCATTAACATGTGCATTTTAATAAACGGTGTGTGTCTGTCCGCCTGTATGTATGCGTGTCGCTATATGACAGTGGTCCCGAAATAATCGAGTTAAAACCAGAAATACCAATGATGGACATCATGAGCATTAACCTGCGCCATTGAGATTCAACAACATGCATCAACCACGTCAGTGAGCCTGACCACCCAATCCCATTAGGCCTATCTTACGACAAGCATTGAAGGTTGAAGTCCCATTGTAACCTGAAATATGCAAGTGTGTTTTTGTTTTCAAGCATATATTCTGCTGCACAAATCATTACAAGATCTGGGCCGGTGGGGTAGCCTAATGGTTAAAGCGTTGGCTCGTCACGCCGAAGACCCGGGATCGAATCCCCACATGGGTACAATGTGTGAAGCCCATTTCTGGTGTCCCCCGCCGTGATGTTGCTGGAATATTGCTAAAAGCGGCGTAAAACCAAACTCAGTCAGTCATTACAAGATCTAAGACATAACTGATGGTCACGGATGATTGTGAATATTGTAAACCATACTATAATCCTTTTACATATTTCAGCTACTGAATTCGGTTAGACACGATGCATTACGTGCCCTTTGTAGTGTACATGGCGATAATATATTTGAGATTATTTATTCGTCAGGTGATTGCGTTCATAAATGTTCCATGTGAAAAAAATTACTCACCGTATCTTCGACACAGGTACTTATGAGTGTCTACTGGATCACAGTAGGTGCTCATTGTGCAGTTGTGATTTGCACATGCGCCAGCAACTCCCTAGAAACAGAAATTTATATCAAGTGTACATAGCTGTATTCTTTAATGTTTTCTTGAGAGGATGCCATTAAACAAGTCGAGACACAGATGCACTTAGCATGTTCAGGGACGTACATTAATACAATCATCCATATCGTCATTAAACCCATCTACACTCGAACGTCTGGTGTACTAATTCTTGATCCCCACAACAACCTTGCAGGTTAGTGGGTGCGGTGCCAGCAACGTGTGGCTAAAGAGTTACAGTAGGTTGGCTGCTTATACAGTCATGCCGTGATAGCTGGAATATTGCAAATGCAGATCTCATCTAGGACCTCTCAGAGGCAATGCTCAAATTGGACCGAAACTTTTACCTACTTCGATTTCAGCTAATTGTTTTAAACACATAACCAAGATGCACTTGATGTCAAAACATGGAACGCATTATGAATTTCAATTCAAACGTTTTTAAAAGCTCAGAGTTTTGCATAAACAATCCTTATTTATTCCCCTCAATCCTTCGCTTAATGCACATGGATAGTTAGTCTAACACCCACCCGGTTCGGGGTTTAACGAAAGTAACTCCCCGTGTCATTTGATTCGGTGTTCAGTTGGCAAGTTTGATTGCACGTCACTGAGCACAGAAGTTATTCGATCATTATATCAATCATTTGTTTGATCTAGCGTATTTATAAGCCGCCGTCTTAGAGCTGAAACATTGCTGGAGTCCGACGGTAAACCAGTGAATAAACAAATGTCAATCAAAGTGAGTGAGTTAGTATTATTATCACATCGGCAATATTTCAGCTATATCGTGACGAGAACAATTAATTATCAGTAAAGATCAATAGTATTAGAAGCTATGAAACTGTTTACGATGAACAGTAAAACTAGCATGTAACTGAAAACTTATACTATAATGCAATACAATGCAATATAAAACCGGGCTATAGATCACTAGCAACTGAGAGTTGATCACCATACTAGAGACCATGGGGACGTTTTGTACTTTGGCTACATGCATGGACCCTAAACGGATTTATATCACCCACTCAGCCGCTGGTGATTATAGTTAAATTTAGCCATACCTTAAAACCACAAAAAATACTGCGTTTTAAAAAATCGGTAAGTTTAATTTTCCTTGAATGTTTTGGGACGTACGTACCCCAACAGGACAATAATTTTACAATACTTCAACCCCCTGTGAGGACACAAATCATTTATCAAAATTTATGTAACAATTCAATTTCTTTTAAAAATGCAATAATTAAATGACAATTAAAGTTAAAAACATCCTGAACTGTTTTGACATTGAAATATTTATTCCTTGTGATGGAAGAATCAATGCAGATGCAGTCAAGCAAAATATCAATCAAAAGCTGTTACAGACTGAAAATTAATAGTTATTTAACTACCTCTGGCCAGTGTTTGATGTCAGAGAAGACAAACCCAGCCGCTGGAACCAGATGAGTGGCGTTGAGACCTCCAGGAGAAAGTGTTAGATAGTTAAGGTCACATTTCCCTGAGTAGATATTAAAGTTGAAGGATTTGCACCATCTTCTTGCAAGGCACGTACGTGCGCAGAGAACCTGTCCCTGTGTCGACAGCGATATGACGTGGGCATTCGGTAGTCTGACGTTGCGTTCAACAAAATGATAGTTTTGGAGGTCTGTACATATCTTTGATGAACTTGCAAGATGAACTGTCAGAGACACCAGACAAGTCACAAGCAGAGACATTGCTGCTTCACTTATCAGTGTTACGTTTGTCAGCTGCAAAGTCGAAGAAAATATATGTTCTATGAATGTATTGTTTGAATATTTCTGTTTAATTATATACACCAAACAGCGAGTTAGACAATATTGACTTCACATATAAGAGTACAGTAGCTGCGTAATGCCCGTCCACATGTCACCTTCTCGAGTATACGACTAAGCAGTATTAAGAATGTACTTTTGAGACCTCTTGTCAAGATATAAGCGCTTAAAACCCCTTATTCATAGTCATCCATGGGTAACCAATTTTAGCGGGACTGCCTAGTCGAGATCAACTACGTATACCTGTTTTTACGTGAAGCAAGTTACTCTTTTAGTCAAGCATCTCTATGCTTTAAAAGTCTAGAATTTTCATGTCTATCTGCCGTTGACTTAGTTAACTCCCGGTAATAACTGGTCAAAGATAACATAACTTGCTGCTTATGCATCTTGTCAATGGTTTTAGCTGTCTTAGATAGTAGCGTTTACACCGTATATTTGCTCATCGGTTGTTTGTTAGGCCCTTGACAGTGTCAATTGGGGGTCTTACTGCATTAGTAAGTGAGTGAGTGAGTTAACATTTATAGTCACATCGGCAATATTTCAGCAATATCGTGACTAAAACAGTAAATATTCTATATTACATGTTAAAATCTGTCTCCAAAGGACAGTAAAACAACTAGAGATATAAAACTAGCATGTAACTTAAAAGTATAGAGTATTTAGGACATTACAACCTAAAAATGCGGCTATACATCGCCTGCAACTGAAAATAGATCACCATACCAGGGACCATGGTAGTGAGTGAGTGAGTGAAAATTTATAGTCACTTTGGCAATATTTCAGCCATATCGTGACTAAAAAGGGTCATATTTAAATAATTTATAATGTTATATTTTAAAATCTGTCTACGGGGGGCTGTAAAAGAACTAGAATATCACAGTTAGACATTTAAAACTAGCATGTTAAAGGTATATACTATTTAGGACATTACCAAATAAAAACAGGCTATAGATCACCAGCAACTAAAGTTAGATCACCATACCAGGGACCATGGGGACACTATCCCTTCAGCCACTTGCGATTGTAGTGAAATTTAGCCTTTATTTAAAACAACAAATATTCAACGATTAAAATTTTGTAGGTCGAAATTGACTTTGAAAGTTTTGGGACTTACATATTTTCTCCGGAAGACAACACTTTAACCCCCGTCGAGGGTACAGTCTCTGACCCTCTAAGTTGCAACTTAAACTTCACCGATATTAAAAATCAACTATCTACACAATATCAAAATATATCAATTAATTAAATTTGGTTTGAAAATCCAAGGATTAAATCAGGAGCAACATGATTAAAAAATCTTTCATCGTTTTTAAATTGAAATAGTTATCCCTTGTGATGGAAAACTCAACACAGTCAAGCAGTATATGCTTGACCGTGAATCTTTAATCACAAGACAAGACGTCGGATCATCGCCTTTCAATAGATATCCATGTGTATATCTGGAGCGGAGGGGTGGTCCAGTGGTTAAAGCTTTCACTCGTCACGCCGAAGCCCCGGGTTTGATTCCCCACATGGGTACAATGTGTGAAGGCTATTTCTGGTGTCCCCCGCCGTGATATCGCTGGAGTATTGATAAAAGCGGGGTAAAACTAAACTCATTCATGTGTATATCTACCCTGGCCAATACGACATCTTCGTATCATGAATGACCTCTTCAATTGCAAATCTGGACTGACAACCCAAGTAGGTGTAATCGTTGGTTTTATTTGATGTAATTTATTGATACCCACCTGGGTGTCCCACTTCTTCACATCACGGATGTAAGATCTAATAATGGCTTTCTAACCATAGTGTGGAATGACAAGTGTTGTCACAGATTTGTTGAGTGCTGTCCTAGCTATAGCAGCGAAATCGATCACTGTGTTAGCAAAAACCCCAACGTGGTTTATTGGCCAGTTGCAAGGTCATTATAGAATTCAATAATTGCTATTAAAAGTGGATGTTTACAAGATATTTTTATAGCCTGAAAGCAAGAAAGAGAGTCCGAAAATATGATATATTGTTTATGTTTAGGACGTCTATTAATATATTTAAGAGCTGTTAGTATTGCGTTGGTTTCTTCTGTAAAAGTAGAGAATTTATCTGGTAATAGAGGACATATGGTTCTTGATCCAACGAAAGTAGCACAAGCAACTGCGCCACCATCCTTGGATCCATCTGTAAATAAGGATTGGTATGTATTATATTTACTTTACAATTGATTAAGTTTCTTGTTTATATTGTAATTCTTCAGTTTCAGATTATGTAAACGTTGCCAGTGTTAGGTCAACTTATGGCCTCACTAATTGCCAAGGAAGATAAAAAGACGGCGGGAAGGAGATACATTTTGTAGTTCAATGCAAGCAGCAGAAAGGAAAGGTTTGACTCTTAGTCCAAGGGGCGGCACAAGAGAAAACGTTTGGTTGTACAAATCCTCATAGAAAGGATTGAAGACACAGTTATATGCAGAATTTGACTCGTTAGAAAATAGTTTTGTGATATATTGTAAACTTAACTTTATACGGCGTTGGGTAAGAGATGGCTCATCAGCTTCGACGTAGAGTCTGTCAAGTGAAGTTCTAAAGGACCAAAGAAAACTCTTAGACCTTGGTGATGGACAGAATCTAATAGTTTTAGGTTGCTTTTGCAGGCTCCACTGTATACGATGGAGCCATAATCAAATTTCGATCGGACCAATGATCTGTATTGGTGTAGGAGGTCAGCATGACCCCCTTCCCATGTAGAATTGGAAACCACCTTTAACAACTCAAGTGCCTTGAGGCACTTATTTTTTAGATGTTTGATATGAAAGTTAAAAAGTTACGTAGGAGTCGAAACTTAGACCCAGGAACTTGGCCTCCTTGACAACTTTGATGGGTGCCATTTAAAATTAGTTCTGGGTCTTTGTGTGGTTTATATATATGCAGTTAATCTTTTATTCAGAAAATTTAAAGCCGTTTTCAAGACACCATTTATGTATGTTGTTTAAACACAACTGCAGTTGCCGTTCAATAGCATGCATATTTTTACCGTGACAAGAAATATTAAATCCTTTGATAAACTGTTATTCTTAATACTGACCAATGTGACAGACACAATACTGCCTTGTGGGACACCCTGACCCTGATTGTAATGATCAGACAGGATTGAACCCACTTAGACTTGAAATTGCCAGTCCCTTAAAAACCGTGATATAAAAGGAGGTAAACGACCTCTCA